GACCCGGGGCGGCTGCCGCCGAAGCCCAAATCGTCTGGGACATCCTCGCAAAATCGCTCTTGGCGCTGCTAGAACTCCATTCCCGGCGTACATTTTGGATGCCCGGAGCCAACTGTAAGCCACTTCGTGGTCTTCGAGTTCCCAGAACTCCATTCCCGGCGTACATTTTGGATGCCCGGAGCCAACTGTAGGCCACTTCGTGGTCTTCGAGTTCCCAGAACTCCATTCCCGGGCCACATTTTGGATGCCCGGAGCCAACTGTAGGCCACTTCGTGGTCTTCGAGTTTCCAGAACTCCATTCCTGGGCCACATTTTGAATGCCCGGAGCCAACTGTAGGCCACTTCGTGGTCTTCGAGTTCCCAGAACTCCATTCCTGGGCATGATTTTGAATGCCCGAGCCAACTGTAGGCCACTTCGTGTTCTTCGAGTTCCCAGAACTCCATTCCCGGGCCACATTTTGAATGCTGAGGCAAGGCTGAGGCTGAGGCTGAGGCAGGCTGAGGCTGAGGCAGGCTGAGGCTGAGGCCGAGGCTGAAGGCAGACTGAGCTGAGGCTGAAGGCAGGCTGAGGCTGCAGGCTGAGGCAGGCTGAGGCTGAGGCTGATGCAGGCTGAGGCTGAGGCAGGCTGAGGCTGAGGCGAGGCTGAGGCTGGCTGAGGCTGAGCAGGCTGAGGCTGAGGCTGAGGCTGAGGCAGGCTGATGCTGAGGCAGGCTGAGGCTGAGGCTGAGGCTGATGCAGGCTGAGGCTTAGGCAGGCTGAGGCTGAGGCCGAGGCTGAAGGCAGACTGAGGCTGAGGCTGAAGCAGGCTGAGGCTGAGGCTGAGGCAGGCTGAGGCTGAGGCTGAGGCAGGCTGAGGCTGAGGCTGTGACTGCGACTGCCGTTGCCACTGCGACTTTCATCGCGAATGCGACTGCGACTGCGAGAACAGCAGAATTCTACAACTGGATTCTCATGTGAATCTTAAGGGGAATGCTTCCAGATATGCTCCTACACATCGCTGTTAGGTTGCTTTGCCGGGATATTTTTTTCTTTGGTGTCTGGCCGTTCTTCGGAGGATCCCGTCACTGCTGACCCAGAGATCCCGGAGGTACAGGCCTATTCCCAGGACTCTGAAGAGATCCGAGCTGGGCTCATGGAGTTTTTCGTGTCTAGTATCCAGGAGCAACCAGAGGATGGCGCTGCTAGACCGTATGCGCCCGACTTCGCGGGCGATCCTAGACAACGCAAAGACAGGACCAGAGTAGATCCTGAGCGCAGTCGATTTCTTGACTCAGACACGAGCAGCTCTGACCAAGATTTTGAGCCTCAAGCGGAGGAGGCTCCGACACGGACAGAAGCGTCGGGAGCCGACGCGGATGCAGAGCATATTATCGTGGATTTGATTTCTGGCTCCCCAGAGGAGCAGGCGGCGGCCTGGCCTCTGCTCCCTTCCCCGCCTCCTTCGTCTCCGCCTCCACCCCCGCCCGCTCCCCTCGTCCTTTCCTCCTCCCAGAAGGCCAGGATCGCCGCCAACCGTGCAGAGGCACGGAGGCGCCGTCACGCGAGGGAGAGAGAGAGGCTGGCACCCTGGGGTGATGTGGTGCCTGCCCCGCTCCACCTCTTTCCAGAGCGGGCGCCATCGGCGCCCCCTCTTGAAGTACTACTTCAGCAAGCTCGTGTTGCTTGGCAATAAGGCCGGGCCCCCTCGAGCTTGTTTTTCGCCACGAGCGTTCGAATCGAGCACGACCCGTCGTCTAAGCCTGCGTTGCATCAGCCCGGTCCTCCCCAGGCGCTGAGCAGCTGAAGGCGCAGGAGTCCCGGTCCCGCTGCTCCGCCTCCTCCTCCGCCTGCTCCGCCTTCCTCCTCTTGCTCCTCCTCCTCCTCCTCCTTCCTTCCTCCCTTCCCTTCTCCTCCTCCTCCTCCTCCGCCTCCGCCTCCTCCTCCTCCTCTTCCCCCTTTTTATCACCTCCTCCTTCTACCCTCGTGCTCCTCCTCCTGCTCGGTCACCCCATGCTACCTCCGCCTGCTCAGCCCCCCTGCCGCTGCAGCTGAGCGCGTTCTGGAGCTCTCTGGAGCGATCTGTCCGCATCTTAGTGAAAGGGCCCTGGGACACACAAATAAATACACACAAACAACAGGATCCCCCAAATTTTCTTATATTTCCTGGGTTTTTTGTTTTCCCCCCCCACGTCCCGTATTTTCCTATATTTTCTGGGGAATCGGCGATTCATTGTGTCTGTGTTTTTTCCCCTCCTGACTTAGGCCTGCCAGGTTGATTAGCGAATCCGCAGCATGCAGCTGGCTTTCCCAGCTGGGTGCGACGCGAGTCGAGGAAAGCGTCCGATGGCCGAGCCGAAACCAGCTATGCGCAGCAGATTTCGCACCCCCGCCCTATCCCAATCCACACCCGTCGTCCGACCCGAACCCAGTCCTGCTCCTCCGGCACGTTCGTGTCGTAACGGCTCTGGCGTTGGCTTTTGGCTTCTGAAATCGCGTGGATCGTTCAACCTTAAACTTAAGTCCGGCCTGCCCCTCTACAGGAGGAGCATTCAAAAATAATCAAAAATACTCCTGGGGACGATTTTTAACATATTGTTTGACCATGTTGGGATATTGTTTCACTATTTGTTTTTTCGCCCAGAATCGGCCTGTAGGGTGACAGGCCCGACCTAACCTTAAATGTTCACGGCTTTTCGACAGCGCAACGTTCGATACTGGCTGATTCTGGGCTGCTGCGGCCTTCTACAATGAATGCCCGCGCTATGGTCGCCGTCGCGTCCACGCGGCGCTTCGTAACCTGCCGTGTCGCTGTTCCTCCTGTCCAGCCTGCTGTTGTTGATGCCTTTTGTTGAGGGAGAAGATGGGAGCGCACACGATGACGTTTGAAACACGTGCTGATCAGGAATAACTGACCGAATTTCCGCCCCGTAGCAGCTGGACGTAGAAATCAACTTCGGGCCGAGTCACCCGTGCCCGGGCAACTTCCGTGCAGATGAAGGGAGGAGGAGGAGGACCAGAGTGAACATCGAGCGAATTCCCGCCACTGCTTAGGAGAACGGTCATGAAGCAAAATCGTGCGAACGCGGAGCGATACGAAATTCCCCTATATCGTATCGGTGAGACGGGGTGGAGAAGAGGGGGGGGAGGAGCCGGAGGGAGGAGGAGGAACCCAAATAGGGATACTACGTACAGAAGCATGGCCCCGAAACTTGGCCATGGCCCTGGGCCCGGCAGAGCAGGAAGAGGGTTTAAACTCGGCCGCTGAATTCTAGACCACAATCACACACATAATGTGCGCCACTGTTGTTGATGCTGCCGGTGCCGTTGCTCTTTCTCTTGGTCACCTTTTCCTAGTCCTCCTCGCCATCACCTGCAATAACTGGGCCTATGGCCCCCGGTTTACAACAACAGCAGTTTCCGCCTGATACTTCCTCACGAATTACTTCCAAATCACGCTCTCGTGCGGGACCTCCTCACAATTTGTATACGAATCCCGCTTTCACGTGGGACTTCCTCGCAATTTATTCACACGATGCGCCCTCGGCGCTCAGGAATCACGCTCTCGCTTTGGCTTTTCTCACGCTTTACTTGGGAATCGCGCTATCGCTCAAAACTTCCTCGCGATTCATGCAGGACCCACGCTTCAGCAACCCGCCTACTCGACCTCGTCACCTGGGCCCGCCTTCCCGACCTGCCCGCTATGTGTCTGCCCACCCGATCTGCCCGTCTGGTTCTACCACTTGTTTTCTGCTCCTTGCCCTCCTCCTGCTAATTTCTCTCGTGCTCCAGTCTTCTCCCTCCCCCTTCCACCTGTCCTCTCTTCCCTTGTTTTAGGGGCTGCGCTAAATGCACGTGGCAGGTAAGGAAGATATACCCCCAAGGGGGTACGATCGAAGACGACGAGGGCGGGTACCGAGAATTTGGGAGATACGTATTGATTGGCATGTGAGCAGATAGGAGCGAACAGTCTTAAACTGATTGTTGTTGTTGTTGTTGCTGTTGTTGTTGTTGTTGTCGTTGTCGTTGTCGTTGTCGTTGATATTGTTGTTGTGGTTGTGGTTGTGGTTGTGGTTGTGGTTGTTGTTGTTGTTGTTGTTGTTGTTGTTGTTGTTGTTGTTGTAAGTCGGGGGCTATAGGCGCATTATGAGGCCCATGACTTGCACTTGCAACAACAAAACAAGTTGCGAGCACTGGGAGAAGCACTTTGATTGGACCCACAGCATGGGCACCGAAGTGGGGATCAACAGCAGTTATTGCTTAAGCATGGAAATGGGAGATCAACACCAACAACAAACATACTCCGAGCAGCGGAATCACTCTTCAGCCACGCAACCAGGGACAACGCATCATCGCTCGACCCCCTCACTCTGACCTGGAACGTGTCCCTTCACAATGTCACGAGCCCCCTGACGCCTCTGGACGATCGACCCCCAGGGCGACGAGGGCCTCACAGTGTAGGGTACATGAGGGCGACGGGTGTATGAGGGTAGGGACCTCGACTCTCACCTCGACGCCCTCACAGTGCAATCCGAGCAGCAGAACCACCCCTCCCCCTCCCGCTCGCCGCAACCACCGCCCGCCGCCGTGGTCGTGGCCGCCCGCCCCCTGTGCCCGTGCTCGTGGCCGCCCCCTGCTCTCGCGCTCCCGCGCGCCCGCGGCCGGCGGGTGCCCGGACCCATGGCTCGCTCCTGAGGTCCTGGGCAGTCCGAAAAGGGGGGTCCCAGGAACAGGGAGTGCTGCCTCTTGACTTTGGGATGTGGCTTGCTTCAGCTACGAGTTTCCACCACCACCTTCTTTGCCTGGACGCCCCTCTGGGCTGCCCGAGAGACTGCGACTACCCTTTGGGAGGCGCACCTGCGACCCCCGCCAGCTTCCGCAGGGTCCTCCGCGAGCTTCCGCCACGGGGAGCCGCAGGCCGTGTTTCGCTTCGGCGAGGCTTCCGCCGAGGAGGTGATGCCAACCCCGTCCTGCGATCCCTGGAAGGCGCGGCCCTCTCTGGAGCGCCCCGCTCCTCGCCCGCCCCTCCCTGTCCTTGCGCACTTGGCCATCGTCTCGTCGCCCCCTTTCATCACGATCTCCAGGCCGACGAGGTCAAGCCCCATGAGCCTGGGGCTTCAGCATAGGGGTGCTAGCAAAGGGGGGGGGGCACAGAGGGCTTCCAGCCAAGCGCGGCCAAACTTTCAGCACTCCAGGCGAAACGCAAGCACACGCCTCTCCAAATTTGGCTTCGTGACCCTTGCTGGGTCTATCTCTCCAGGTGGCCGAACGATGGAGGCGATTATCATGTCCATATCTGGATCGCCCTCGCTATCCTCGAATCTCGCGCCCTTTCCCGGGCTTGCTTGCTCACGTCGCCCATGCAAGGGGCACCCGAAGCAGGACTATAAGCGCCAACCCCGAAGCACTCGAGAAAGAGAGAGAGAGAGACAGCTTGCCCTAACACATGTTCTGTTCCGAGAGAGATGGAAGGAAGGCATAATCTTTCCATCCACGCAACGCAAGTGATGGCCTCACCCTCAAGCGCTGCATAACACCAAAGCGAGGCTGCGCCACAGCGTGATAAGGGGAGGACCGCATGATGGCTCTTGAATTACCGAGTCCACGAGCCCGTGCGCAGTCTAAAAACATGCCGTGAAACGACGAGGGGACAAGGCAGGCAGAAGGAAACGAAGAAGAGTAGACGGAAGGAGGAAGAGGAGAAGGATGACGAGGGCCAGCTCCGACTGAAGTCAGTTCATTGACACCTCTGCCTCGTGCCTGGGCGGCGGACCCTTCAGTGGGGCGTGGGACGCGACTCAGTCGAGCTGGGCAGGTCAGTAGCGAACCGAGCAGCACGGGCTATGCCCAAGGCTTTGGGTGGACGCACATACGGTCAAGCTGCGCTGGCAACGGAAGCAAGACATTGCGCTCAGACCCGCACGATCGGTCTTCCGCAGCCGGGGACTGAGCCAGAGCCAGAGTGCGGAGGAGGGGGGAAAGAGAAAGAGCATCAGGATTCATCATTCTTCGGCCCAGACATCCTCCGCTGTTTTTGTTGGTCCCTCTTTTTTCCTAACCATCCTGTGGTGTTGGGTCCTCGTTTTGAAGAGACAGTGCCTCGCGTTCTCCTCCTTCCTCCTTCCTCCTCCTCCTCCTCCTCCTGGTCCTCCTCCTCCCTCCTGCTTCCCATCCTTGCCTCTGCTCTCCGCATGCCCATCCGATTTCGGCGAACCCCTCACAGGGTTCGTGGCCCAATAGGGAGCTCCACCGAAGGCCCCAGTGGCAGCGCTCGCATGCAGTTCCACCCTCATTTCGGCACACCCTTCACAGGGTTCGTGGCCCCGTGGGGAGCTCCACCGAAGGCCCCAGTGGCAGCGTTCGCATACAGTTCCACCCTCATTTCGGCGCACCCCTCATAGGGTCTGTGGCCCCATTGGGAGCTCCACCGGAGGCCACATTGACAAGCGTTCGCATGCAGATCCACCCTCATTTCGGCGCACCCCTCACAGGGTTCGTGGCCCCATAGGGAGCTCCGCCGGAGGCCACATTGGCAGCATTCGCATGCAGATCCACCCTCATTTCGGCGCACCGCAGTTCCACCCTCATTTCGGCGCACCCCTCACAGGGGTCGTGGCAGCGTTCGCATGCAGTTCCACCCTCATTTCGGCGCACCCCTCACAGGGTTCGTGGCCCCACAGGGAGCTCCACCGAAGCCCCTAGTGGCAGCGATCGCATGCAGATCCACCCTCGTGTCGGCGCACCCCTCACAGGGTTCGTGGCCCCATAGGGAGCTCCACCGAAGGCCTTAGTGGCAGCGTTCGCATGCAGTTCCACCCTCATTTCGGCGCACCCTTCTCAGGGTTCGTGGCCCCATACGGAGCTCCATCGAAGGCCCCATTGGCAGCGTTCGCATGCAGTTCCACCATCATTGCGGCGCACCCCTCACAGGGTTCGTGGCCCCAAAGGGAGCTCCACCGAAGGCCCCAGTGGCAGCGTTCGCGTGCAGTTCCACCCTCATTTCGGCGCACCCCTCACAGGGCTCAGGGAGCTCCACCGAAGGCCCGAGTGGCAGCGTTCGCATGCAGATCCACCCTCATTTCGGCGCACCCCTCACAGGGTTCGTGGCCCCACAGGGAGCTCCACCGAAGGCCCCAGTGGCAGCGTTCACATGCAGTTCCACCCTTATTTCGGCGCACCCCTCACAGGTTTCGTGGCCCCAGTGGGAGCTCCACCGAAGGCCCCAGTGGCAGCGTTCGCATGCAGTTCCACCCGCATGTCGGCGCACCCCTCAAAAGGTTCGTGGCCCCAGTGGGAGCTCCACCGAAGACGGTACTCACAAGTTCGGCACTCACAACTGCATATGGCTGGGTCCTTCGCCAGCTTAATTTCGATGCGAAGCCCCAGAGGTCCCGACCTTCGGGGCAATTTGTCGCCCAGCACCTCTCTTGCATTGTCCTCCTGCCTTGGGCCCGAGAAGGGGCCCAAGGTCGGCGACTCCCAAGGGTACGGTTTTCACAGGGTGTGGCTTGCAACCGGCACCCTGGGGGGCACCCTGGGTGGCGGGCGGGGACATCGACAAAGTTCTCCGTCGCGCCCCGAGGAGGCCCGACGAGGACAGTGTCGCGCCACCCAGGCCCCAACGGCGCCGATCGCAAACCATACCCCGGCAAATTATAAATAGTCAGTACATACCCCCCAAATGATCGAAAATTGTAAAAACATCGTCCCCCCCACAATTTTTTGAACTGTTTTTAATTTTCCTTCTGTCGAGGGACACGCCCGACTTAACCTTGGGCGCTGAGACGGGGCACAAGAGGCCGACCATCGAGCGGAAACGCCGGGATTGCACAGCTCATGTCGGCAAGAATCTTTGAACAGGGACAGACCGTCCGGGCATCCCTCTGAGCCTACCACGACATGTTCTCAGAACCCAAGAATGTTCGAAGAGCAAGACCAATGTTCTTAGAGCATGAACCCGGTGTGTTAAACCAAGACGGTCTCGGCCAGAAATGGACATGTTCTAAGAACATCTCGTGCAGACCACAACAGGTTATCTGAACATTCTAGGGTAGGCTGGGCCCGTAGGCGAGCCGAGACGCTTCGCCACTGCTTCAAATCTCTGGCCGTGTCTCTTCCCCGCCGCAGGAGCCCGAGGGTCAGCCCCGAGAAGAGGCCCGAGAGGAGCACGAAGAAGCAGACCACGGGCAGCGACACCCACAGCGGCAGGGCGAGCCCCTCGATGTCCTCCGGACACGCGCACTCCCCCGCAGCCAGCGTCGCCGTGTAGGTGGTCGCCCCGCCCGCCACCTCCTTTCTCGGGGGCGCGCAAGCACGGATCAGCGGTCCATGGATGTGGCGCGCGGTCGCCAGATACATGGATCTGGGGAGGTGCCCTCCCCAAAATGCGGCCCGTGCCCGCCTCGCTCAGCGGCGGACATCTGCGATTTCCCAATGGAAACGGGACCCGTCGCCACTCCACGCCCCCTTGATCCAGGTTTGCGATCGCCTGGCCTTCGTCCAGCTGCAGCCGTCCCCCTCCACCCTCGCCCAGGCGCAGCTCTTCGCCCCGGCGCAGGTGGTCACCTCGGCACGGCGGGGGGAGAGGGACTGCGAAGGGCGGATTGGATAGGAAGCAACTCCTGGGAGGACTGCGTGAGAACGATTACGAACGATTCTGCCCAGTTCAGGCCTGTCCAAGGGACCATCAAGCCAGAAGATAAGCCAAAATACGCAAGCCCAAGAAGAAGCCGGACTGGGCCGGATCAAACAATTTGGCGGAAATGAATTGGATTAGGCTGATTTTCGGCCACGGATCTACGTGCCAGCGCCGATGCTGAACTGCAACTGTAACCCCCAGGAATTGCTTCCTGAGTGTGGGAGGAGAGCACCGGCGAGACCAGGCGGGGCAGGAGCAGGGAAGGAGCATCGAGCACGAGGGCGAGCAAGCGGCAGGAGTAGAAGGGGGAGGAGCCTGAGGAGGAGGAAAAGGAGGGAGGAACTGGACGAGGTGGAAGAAGAAGGGGGATGCGATGCGATGCGACGCGGCAACGGTTGCGGACAGGGTCCGCACCTATTTCAGACAAGGACGTGGCCTCGAGAATCTGGCTTGTCTGGGTACATGCATTGCGAGACATTCTAAAACTTAGAACGGGGAGGAGGAATAACAGGAAGTCCTTGGTGTCGGTGTCGGCGCCGGCTGGGCCTGTCGTTTGGACTTTCTCTTGGCGTTCAATTTCTGGTCCTGGGTGTTTGCAGGTGTGAAGTCGGTGTAGTGAGGCCCGCGTTCTGGTGTCTCGTGCTGCTTGCGTCCATGTGATGTCGTTTGGTTGTCTTCTCGACTGGGTCTGTGGACGGTCGGTGGAGGTATCGTCTGCGTTGGCGTACGTTAGCGCTGACTCTGGCCTTGCGTGGCCCACGTGCTGCGTCTGTCCCAGCGCTTGCGTTGGCCAAAGTGCTGCCTCTGTCCCTGCTGGCGCCACTTAAGGTTAAGCCGGGCGTGTCCCCCTACAGGGTGATCTTGTGCAACAACAATAGAAAATAGTGAAAAATGCCCGCCAAATGGGCAACAATAGTAAAACAATCGTCCCCAGACTATTTTCTTTTAAATATGTTTGAACATTCCTCCTGTAGAGGGACAGGCCCGACCCAAAGTTAAGGTATGGCTGCCAGCGTAGCACTCGGGTCTTGGTTCGCGGCCCTTGAGGCCTTGCGCCACATCTTTTTTCGCTTGTGTACCGACGCCCAGTTCCCGATGCCGTGAAGCTTCATGAGGTGTTCTTGAAGGGGCCCTGGGACACACAAATAAATACACACAAATAACACTATTCCCAATACTGTCCCATGTTTTCTGGGTTTTCGTCATCCCCCCCCACTTCCCATACTTTCCCATATTTTCCTGGAGGTCGACGATTCGTTGTGTCTGTGTGTGTGTGTGTGTGTTTTTTCCCCTCCTGAGTTCTGCTCGTCGTGTCGCTCTCGGAAGGTACCCGACCCACGACGATTCAACGGGTCTGCAAGGGTGTGTTGTCTTCGGCGCTCTCGCCATGCATGTCGGGCGTGAGAAAGGTGTCTAGGGCTGACGTGGGTTTCTGCCTGCGTCGTCGCTGGTGTTGTTGGTGCTGTAGTCGTTGTGTAGTGTGTCGCTGCTTGCGCTGTAGAAGACAGTGGGTCTGTAGCTGTTGTGATGGTCTGCTTGTTGTGTTGTGCGACTCCGCGGCGCTCTGATGATCATGCACAGCATGCGTCGTTGTGTCCGTCGTAAGTGCTGCCGGAGGGGCTCCGTGAGTGTCCACGTCGTTGTTCCATGTAATATTGTCGGTGTTACGGTGCCGTTGAATAGCCGGAGTCGGTGAACGGTCAGCCCTTGTTTGCAGAAGTGAGCGACGCCCATGCTGTTCCTCGGCTCGTGGAAGCTGATCACTTGGCCGAGGTATTTGAGACTGCCCTTGTAAGGAATGATGCCTGGATCCATGTCTTGGACAGGTGCTGTGCGTGAGCTCGCCCTCTCCATTCTTCGCGTATGGTTGCTTCGTACTGTGGTTCTGCTCGGGTGGAGGAGGAGGAGAAGGAGGAGGAGGCCAGGGAGGAGGAGGAGGAGGAGGAGGCCAGGGAGGAGGAGGAGGAGGAGGAGGAGGAGGAAGGGGAGGGGGGGGAGGAGGATGCAGCATATGCGGCCAGGAGAAGGACGGTGGGGACGACGGGCAGGAGTGGTCGAGGAGGAGGCTGCCCCCCGGGAAGTTTAGACATCCTCCGAGATAAGCTTTTGAATCCGCGGCCCCAGACATCCCGACTCCTTCCCCGGGAGTAGTTGTGCGTTCCGGATCCATTTCTGATGGCCCCGGGGCTCGATGAATGACCCCCAGAGCTTGGAGTCGACCAAACGTGTCGGGATTCAGCCAAATCAATTCGTCGGAAAGACCTGGGTGAGAAACGGAAAGCAGCAGCATCAGCAACGGCGGGTCGTGGGGCAATGTTAGAGGGGGGCCGCCACGAGAGGGGGCCGCCTCTTCCTCGAGAAAGCGCAATTTCATATTGAAAATGGGCCCCGAAGAACACTCCAGATCCGTCCAAAACGACCCAAAAGGTCCACAAACCTCCTCGAGCCTCGACCCTGGAACCTCAATTCCATGAGGAGCCTTCCAAGTGGTAACCGACGGGCAACGCGCGCTGCCAATACTTATCGGGGGGTTGACCCGCGCTTCGCGACTTGAGGCTGCGCTACACGCTATAGGTATGGGTGCGGGTTGTCGGCCACCGAAGGGGGGCCCCTTTCGAGCGGGGACCCCATCCGACAACGCGCGCCATCGCCCTGCCGGAAGTCCACGTCGATGTATCTGGGAGTCGTTTAGGTCTGGGCGCCAGTTGTCAGCTCACGATATCGAAGAACAACAAATCGCATACACAGAAACTGTTTGAGATCCGCGCGGACGTCTTGAACCAGCGCTGCCCCCCCTGGCGCGCGGATAGCGACAGAGCCCGCGCTGGAGGCGCCGCCAGGAACTTGGACACCCGAAATGGGTACGGGACACATGGGCACGATGCCCAACAGCACATGTCGTTCAAGACCGACAGCGGCCGCTGGTGGGCAGGCGGCCTTCTGTCTCAAATGGGCAGCGCCCGCGGCGGCGAAGACAGCGAGTCCTGTTCAAAATGAGCAGGAACTGCTGTTGGGCATCGTACCCGTTCTTTCCGTACCCACTTCGTTCGTGCCGAAGGAGGGCAGGGCACTGAAAAGAACGAGCACCCGGCCGAACGAGAAGAAGGCCAGCGCGCATTCGCGGAGGAGCCAACCGACGCCGCCCACGCCACGCCGAACGTCGGGGACCAGGCCCGTCATCCCGGGGACACGCGCCAGGCGCGCGCCGCCCAGGGAATTGCGACGATTAAAAAGGACCGCGTAGATAAATGGCGCGCAGCGGCGCGGCAGCAGACAACGGCGCCCAGCGCGCCCCCCTCACGCGGCCATCGCACACCTCCGCCAGGTTTCAGGCGCGCTCGTCTCGCAGAGCGCCAAGCCGCGCGCCGAGCAGCAGACGAGTGACTCGGGGTCCGCATCCCGTCCATCAGCAGAGAGCAGTGAAGGCAGGGGAACCGCTGGTCTCCTATGAAACACACGCGCGCACTCTAGCGCGTGGACGCCGCTGCGCGACCATGGAGAGACAGCGGTATCGGCAGCACGCATGGTGACAAGCTCCCGATACTCCTCCTGAAGGCAGAAACCTGGGCCGCGGCGTATCTGAATGGGAGCCTCCGACACGCCGACAAGATCGCGGCCCAGACAACGAAGGCCACCAGGCCCCCCCACTGCGCCAGCAGTGCCCGCAGCACCACCCCGAGCACCGCCGCCTGGGTCCGCACCGCGCCCAGCAGGAAAACGGGCAGTCGCGCCTGGAAGGCAGCGCTCAGTGCCGCCCAACGGGCGGGCCTCCCCGCAAGTGGGAGACAGGAACAACCAACCGACCATCTTCAGAGACGTTCGGAAGCCCAAAGGGCACCAGCACAAGGACGTTATGACGTCGGTCGCCGCATGATCCTCTTCAACGGCTCTGGCCCGATCGCGCGAGAAACAGAAACGCCGAGGCAAGTCGTGAGCGCCGCAGTCAACGGCAGCCGAGGCGCGCCCGTAAACCGCAGCGTCTGCCCCCCCCCGCAGAAACAAAGCAACGCCAGCAACAACTACCTCTGCTCCGACAGTCCATTAAAACGCACCGCCGCCACCGGCATGACAGGCGACAGGGGACTGGGCGGAAACGCGGGGAACGTCTAGACGGGGCCCATGCTGCGCGCGGCGACGGTCCTTGCCGAGGCACGAAAGTCGTCGCGCCAGGGGCGCGCGAGTGCAGCGCCGCGGCGCGCTGTGACAGGGCCGAAATCTTTCGACCAGTTAGGCGGAGCAGGTGGCGAGAGCAACCCTGCGATCGGCAACCTCCTCGGGCAGATCCGCGGGCAGGGGCGTCGCCTTGAGGAGGTGATCCATCCTCACTTGGACGTCGTCCTGCTCGGCGGCGATGCGCATGAGCGCCGCCTTCGCGCTCGCGATCGCTGTCTTTGCGGGCAGCAGGGCGCTCGGCGCGAGCGACTCGGGGCGACGGGCTAAGCGCCGGCCCGAGCCAGGATCTCAAACGCGAGCCAGACTTGCTGCGCCAAAAGAGGGGGGGCAATTCCAACCAGGATTGGGCCGCGGGGCCGTCGCTCGCTGGCGACGAGCCAAAGCGGCCACGGTCATCTGGAAGGAGAGGGGGGGCAAGACGCGGAGGAGGGGGGCGAGACGGGCTGAGACAGCGCCGTGGAATTGTCAGGGGATCGCTTCGAAGACAGGCATGGTCACAAAAAGTAATGCCTTCGAGATTGACTCATTGGCCTTCACGCGTTCAAACAGAGCGCTCAATCTCTGCTCATACTACGGGGCACTATCGCATGGCGAGAACCCTGGGGGGGGGGAAGGGGGGCGGACGCAACGCTCTGGGCGCCCCTGGAATCGGCGCGGGCGGCTTCAAGTCGCGACATTGGCACGGCCCTGTCGATCGGCCCCCGTTGGCTGAGGATTAGGCTCAAGGCCGCGACGAAACGCGCGCGCAATGTCG